TATTACTATCTTATTCGTATTAATTAATATATTATATTATTAAATCTTTGATTTAATTATATTATAAAATATTATAATTAACTAATTTTGAAAATATCTATTTTAGTTATTTTACATGCTTGACAACTAGTTTTTACCAAACATAATTTGTTCATCAACTAACTTATCAGATATCAACTAATTTACTAAATATACCCTAAATTAGACATCATATTTTTGTTAAATTATAACGAATAAGATGTCAATGCCTACAAATAGCCCAATCCCCATATCCAAAACAACCCATCATAAGGATCAAAACTCAGTTGCTCCCATGGATACGAGCATTAAGCCTTCGAAGCCAAACTGAATGTAGTATCATATGAAACACGTCGTATCTCTTCGGTGGGTAATTAACCTCGAAATGCCGTTTTACTTGTTTGCCCCTGCGTTGCATTCGTAGGTACTGCCTCGTCGATATCCCCATCAAGATTTTCTTGAGGTTAGGGATGTCCTCGACTGGTATTATGACCGCGAACGATTTCCAGTTCAGAACGTCGCTAAATGGTGCCACGTAATGGTCTTTAATGAGCACCGGGACACAACCCGTGTAAAGTGCCTCGACCATTCTCGGGCTCGCCACCTCATAGCCGCTCGGGGAGATGCAATACTTGCTTTGCCTCAGCATGTCGATATATGAAACACCCTTCGGAAGGTACTTGTGGACTTGTACATCAGGGTCCTTGTTCTCCCAATGCTCGAGGAGGATCGGCCTAATCGGGCCATGGACCCCACCAGCAAAGAACGCCAGAATATGGCGTTGCCTAGGGGATGGCCCACCCACTAGACCTTGCATTGTACCATCGCGGAGCAAGATCTCCGGGATGGAAACATCCTTTGAAGGCTTGAACCCTTCTGAGGTGTTTGCATTGCAAAATGCCCTAATCGAGTTTGTAAAGAGATTCGGGACCGCCTTTGAAAGCTCGGGCCCCTGCCATGGATATAGGAAAACCCAATTGTAAACGTAGAAAACAAACATACAATACATGTAGAAGAAGGATCATGTGAAAAGAAGAGTTAAGATGAGAAAGTAAGAAGATATCTGACCCTTGATCACTTTAATCTCACCCAACCCGTGAATTGCGCTTCTCATGGAATCGATCTGGTGCATGTCAAGGGTGGAGTGCATTTGAGGATGAAGATTCATTCTTACCCTTATCACCATAACTTTCATTTTCACCGGAAACTGTGTGTGTGTATATATATATATATATATATATATATATAATATGTAAAGGATCGTGTGAAAATGAGAGTTAAAGTGAGAAGCGTAATAAATGATTCGGATCCTTGTTCACTTTTAATCTCCAACCCACCTATGAATGCGCTCGATATGGGGATTGATTTGGTGCATCTCGGTGCATCTCATCCTAATGTGCATGTAAGAGTAGAGATCACTTCTTATGCTTCTCATCTTAACTCTACTTCTCACCATAACCAAACCCTATATATATATATATTTTATATGTGTGTATATATATAGCATAAGATTGATTTACATACCCAATCATGGCAAGCAACAATGAAATGATCAGCACCAAGACTCCGGTTCCAGAAAGGGTATTTGGATGCCACAAGATCGACATAATCCTTAACAGTTCGCTTCATCGGACGCCAATGGTCACGAGAGCCGCGCTCCAATATAAAGCGGACCATCATGGTCGAACTCATTGGAAGGAAAAATATGTGGGCTTTGTCGGGATCCCGGGTTCGGAACAACTTGGTTGTTTCCATTTGAAAAATGAAGTTACCTTCCATTGCATATATGCTCTTGCAAGGACCATTGTGAAATATGGGTGGTTCTCCTTCTTCATAAACATATACCTTAAATCTTTTCTCCATTTCCAAATAGCTCCTGCAATCACCTCCATGTCGTTTTAGCTCAAAACCAATCGGCAACGAGTGGAGTAACGCAGTAAACAACCATTCTAGTTTCGGGGTTAATTGGAATGGGATATACTAAGCTCGTTTGGTTTGGGTTTAGAGTTACAAGTGAAACAAAATTGGGTTTACACGACTCCAAAAATGTAGTATTGTAATAGACTATTCTATAGGACTTAATTTATATGATCAAACATTTATAAGATGTTTTTGGGCATCTTAACAATTTTTATAAAACACTTTAGAAATAAAACATCCTATTAATTTTTTTACGACATTATTTGAAAAAAAATGTCTTATAAAAACAAGTGTATATAAAAAGATGTGTTGTTATGACACTTCTCCAAAGTGTCCTATAAAAAACTAATGCAACACGGTAGATAACAGTGTCTTAAAAAAACTTGTTGCAACATCCAAAAGCGTCATATAAAGTTACTATAACACTTTTACATATGATACAAAGTTGTTTGGTCCATTTAATTTAGAGTCTTGTAAAGCAGTCTATTATGACACCTAGACATTTTTAGTTTCCTATATACCCAATCTATAGTAATGAACACGGTAACGCTGATTACGTACCTGTGGAAGACGGAGGCATTCCAATATATAGGACCAAATGGTGTGTAGTCAGGATCATTGATCTGGTTCTGGCTTATTGTTTCCCGGATTGCAGCTCGAGCTTGCATCAGGCTCGCTTCAAGTTTATCTATACCGGAAAAGTTTCTTTGAATTCCTGTACTTGAAGGAGGATCGTAGGTTTCATTTGTCCGAAGGAAAATGTCCGAGCCATTTAAAGTCGCAGTAAAGTTGTCATCTTGATCCATAGCAGAAACCTGCTCGACAATATGTATCAGTTGCTCCTCTCCGATATCCACGGTAAGTTCAGTGTTCACTAATTTTCTGATTGTTTTTAAGACAGTTATTTTTGTGTTTTATAAATTCTGAACATTACATTGTAAAGTTTAAATCTGGATCGGAGTGGAAATAAACAGGATCACAAGAAGCTGGAAATACACAGGATCATACGAAGCCCGAAACTGGAAAAGGGGGAAAAATCACACAGTCCCGAACCCGACCCAACCCGACCTGTCCCGAAACCCGTAGGTTTTTCTACAAAGTTCGGGTTTTGGGTTCCATATTCTCCCCCAAAACCCAATTGGGTTTACACTTTTGGGTCCCGACCTGCCCGTTGCTAACCCTTATATATAAAGGACGGAAATGACCTTTAAAGAAGTGGTAAAAAGACCAAAATGCCCCTTAGTTTTTTGGTTAGGGATCATTTTCAAACCAAAATGCAAAGTGTAGTGACCATTATTGTAGTTATTTTGTTGGGAGACGAGTTTAATTGTTGTGAACATACCACAGGGACCAAAATTGTAGTTTACTCCAATTTAAATTATATATAGTAAATAATGGACTTGGTCCCTATGGTTTTAAGTTTGTTTGGGATTTAGCCCCAAATTTTTTTAATTCCAAAATAGCCCCAAAGTTTGCACTTCCATAACGTTGTGATCTCTGCTACTAATGGTTGTCAACTACAATTCGTTAAGTGATGGTGTATAATGGCGAAACATGGGGGAGGGAGAGTTTAAGGGGCCGTTTACCAAACACTTACCCGGTAAGTGCTTACCGGTAAAGTTTAATACTATTATTTACTTACCGGATAAGATTTTAGTCTACCAAAATAACATCGTATACAACAATTTACCCGGTAAGCGCTTACCGTGGTAAGAGACGTCACATTCACTTACCGGATAAGACTCTTGGTCCTTTTCTCGCTCTTATCGAGTAAGATTCTTGGTCTTTATCATATTCATGCGGTGAGGTAATGTTACTTGATAAACCCTTACCCGGGTAAGCGTCTGGTAAACGGCCTCTAAGTCTCTCTCTCTCTCTCTCTCTCTCTCTCTCTCTCTCTATATATATATATATATATATATATATATA